GAATCGAGATTGCTCCGAGGAATTATTAATCTTCTTAAATACTTTGCGATATTAATTAACAATTAACGCGTGAAATTCAACAGAATTTGTTGTTAATTCAATTATCATCGAAGGTGCTTCATGTGACATGAATATTAATTTGATGACATATTGTGATTTATATTTTTTAGTCGTCTTATTTTATTTTGGTTATGAGGCATTGGAAATGTTCTTGGAAGAAATTGTTAAAATAAATTAGTATAACGTTTCGAGACAATCTAGTAATTGCATTAAACATAATTATTAGATATTGCATTATAATAATTATATCAAAATATTAAATAAAAATATTGTGGATTTATTTTGGTTATGATGATTTTAAACTATTCTTGGAAAGAATTGTTAAAATAGATTAATATGTTTGGTTATTCCAAATTAGCTTAATAATTGTAGAAAGCAAGCTTAATAGACCATTTTTGATTTGGGTAAAAATAACTAATAGCAATATAGATTACACTAGAAAAAAATTGTGGATGCGTTTGCAATTAATATTCGAAATTAGCAGATGCTATGAAACCTTTCTTATATTTTCAAAATTTTGTTCATCTGAAAAATATTCTGAAAACGTCATTAACGAGTAAGTAGTAATCATGTTCAAAGAAGTAAAAATTTTATTTATTTGCTATTTGCTTGATTAATATTATAAGATTCTTTGTCATTTGATAAAAAGCACAAAAGAGTCGGGTTTCATTAATATTATAATAACCTATTTCTTTTACGAAAATGTGGTTTCGTATTAATTTTCACAAGTTTTATTAATATTATAATATTATTTGTATCTTGAAAATAGCACTAAATAGTCCTAAAAGATTGAAACTGTATTGTTTAAGGATGTACAATTATTTTTTAATTTTCACAGGTTTTATTAATATTATAGTAGTTCTAGTTCTTGGATGTTTTCTCGAAAGGTACACCGATTAAAAAAAGTAATTTAATTAAACTGAAATAATTATGTCTTGCTTTAATAGTTTTGCCTGATAATCAATCAAACCATTTCTTCCCAATTAACTCTGAAATGAAAAACTAAGTGTTTTAAAAAGTGTTTTGAAAATTCAAAAACCATTCGATGGGTTTCAATTCGGAAATAAGTAAAAATCAGCGTTATAATTTCCTCTTGTAAGTACAAAACTTAAATTTTTATCCACTTTTCCTCAAAAACAGTCCCAATCACAAATTTTAAGCGGATCTGATATCTGTATATCACTTGGGAATTATATTCATTAGATTTTGGTAAAGATCGGTCAAGATTTTTCTTATTAATTAATAATTAATAAACTTGATTTTCTATAATTTGTTATGATTGATATTGATATTTTGTGACGATTATTTTTTACTAATGGCAATTAAAAGGCATTCTATTTTTCATATCTTTTTATTAGAAGGAAACTTAATAGATGTCTTGTTTTAATTGTGATAATATTTTAACATTTTGGTAACAATCGGTCAATATTTTTCTTTTTAATCAATAATTAAAATTCTTAAACTTCTATAATCTGTTATGATGTTTTTTGTGAAAATTATTTTTTACTGATGGCAATTAGAAAAGGCAAATGTTGCCGCATTCTATTTTTGATAAATTTTTATTAGTAGGAAACCCATTAGTTGTATTATTCTAACTGTGATAATATTTTAGCATTTTTGCTTGGAAATATATTTGTGATCGAGTAAAAATACATATTATTACACAGGTTGGACGCAACTCGGATTTAAATTCGAAAGTTTTGCTGTAAAAATCTGTGTTTTGAAAATATTAATGTGCTCTTATACGGACAAGATCGTTTATAACCCATTAGTTGTCTTATTCTAACTGTTATAATATTTTAACACATTTGCTTGGAACATATTGGTGATTCAATAAAAATATATAGTAATACTCAGGACGCAACTCTGATTTGAATTCGGAACCGTGTGGTTGCAAGACCGAAGTCTTACTATTTGGGAAACTATAGGAGAGCTAGAAATTTCCATCCAATCTAAGTTTATCTGAATCTCTATATGACTTGGGAATTATATTAGATTTATAATTTAGGAAACTCTGAACAATGTGGTAGCAAGACCAAAGTCCTAAGAAACATTTGAAAAACTGAAGGGGAGCTAGGGGATTATTGTAACAGTTCTTCTAATTGATATATCTTGTATCACTACGAAATAAAGATGGATAGCTGCTTTAACTCTCCTCTACCAGTCAAAAGTGACGGACCTGCACAGTTCTGTTTATTGCGTCGGCTTGCGGGACAGTAGCTATGGCAATATTATACACATGCAGAACGATTTACATGTCCAATTTTATTTGTTTCATTCTCAAATCTTAAGAGCAGTCAGAATCTTACGTCCTATGAGCTGTTGGGCTGAAACTTCTTCTTACTTCGTATTTTTAGATGGTAACCCAATGGTTAACCATATTTGATGATTTTATTATTAGAATTTATCTAATAGGGCTGACTAAAAAAAGTATTTTAATATCGTTTAAGATCCTATTGAAAAATGCTTTTTAGTTTAAAGTCTGTTCCAAATAGATCCGATTGAAAAATGCTTGTTGGTTTAAAGCCTGTTCCAAAAAGTCTCTACTATGCCGGCAAAATTGCATGTTTTTTCAGATATTACGTACCGTTAAGATTTAATCCCAAGGTCGTTATTTCAATAATCAATTTATTGGTTCAAAATATATTCCATTTTCGCATAACTCGAATGTGTGCTCATCAATATTTGCGTGTAGCTGCAATTATATACGTTCGAAACTAATTGTTAAAATGACCGCAAGGAAGATTTTCAAGACAAGCCGATGTATATATTCTATGTTGTGACAAGCGTTTAAGCCAGTTATTATTATGGGTCGTTTTATTCCAGTACCCGCTCGATTTGCATACGATATTACTGTATAATATCTTGAATTATCCTTATGCACAATTATGCAATTAAATCATAAATTACGATCGGTCTATAATTAAAATATAATAATAAGTTTACTAGGCTGATTTTGCCTCAGTTTTCATATAATAGCCGTTGTAAGGAAGTAGAATTACTAACATTATGGACGATGTGACGCGCAAAAAATGATTTTGATATCGACGACTTTGAATTTGCAAAATGACGATAATTAATCATGTTTACTAGAATTATATGGATGGTTATTAAATTTATTATGAACATGATATATCTTTATTAAAATGTGATTTATAATAAAAATATGCAGTATTGGTAATTATGGTTAGAGGCAAATTATTCAATGCGACTAGACGTGTTTTTAAACTAGAGTTAGAATAAACGACAATTAATAAATTATATAATTTTAATAAACTCAAAAAATGCAAGCTTCTTTTTAAATTGGATGAATAAAATGTGTTTTCGTGAAAAGGGCTTAAGACTTAAGTCCTTAAGATATAACAATAATACAATTACAAATTGTTTCAATCTGTTTTATTAATTATATAAAAATCAAATTAATATGTTGTCATAAGGTCGGTGTTATTATAATTATTTTTTCAGATTTAATAATTTTTAAATAAATAATTTATCTTCATTTCATCCAAACAATAAAAACGGCAATAACTCGGATTACTTTTCATTTTCTACTTCTATATTTATATTTTTAAATAGAATTTTCTATATCTATTTTATATAGATTTTTGCTTTTTCTGAAAGTATTCAGGTAAAAGATTATTTTAAAATAATAAGTAAATTAATGTGTTGTTATAAGGACAAGATCGTTAACATTTTTATACATTTATTCTGATTTAATACTTTTTAAATAAATACTTTATCTTTATAATATCCGAAAGAAAAGAACTACCATGACTTAGATTACTTTTCAATTTCTGTTTCTAAAAATCTGTACTTGACTTCTTCTGTAAAAATTTGTATTTGGAATATATTCAGGAAAAAGTTTATTTTTTATTTTAGTTCATTTATTTTGTTCAAGCAGAAATAGTTTTGCATAGCGTTTTTCGCGGAAGATACTAATAATATGAAATTTCAATTATTACATATGCTGTTATGAAGTCGTTGTCATTTTTATACCGCCATTGTGATTTAATATTTTTTAATTTATATTTTACCGTGAATCCAAAAGAAAAGAACGACAATGATTCTGATAACTTTTCGTTTTCCATCTGTATTTTGCTTCTCTAAATGAATAATCTCATTATCAGATCAATTTCATTTTGTCTTAATGAGATAATAAACATTTTTTTATATTTTTATATCAATAATAATTAATATTTTCATTCTGATTCTATCATTTTTAGGTGAATTCATTGTTATAAATCCTAACAAAAGCATCAACATTGACAACATCAACATTGATTATTTTTCAATTTCTATTTCCAAAATTCTGTACTTCACTTATTAAATAATTTTTAATATTCTTAATTTAAATAAACAAATAAATTTAAAAATTTTGATGCACATATTTCAATAAATTATGAATTCTTAATTGGCTCACGTTAACTTGTCAATTGTAGAATTAATAAAAATTAAGACAAAAATAAGCATACATAACAAATGATACTATTTTAAAGAAATTGACTTTGTTTTTAATGCACTTTGAGGTCTCAAATTTATCAACAGATTTAAAAGTAAGATTAATTACCAAGGCTATTAAAAATAAATATCGTACATCACACTAAAATTTTTAGGCATAATGCTAATTAATTTTCCTATAACTAAATAATTTATAAAAGATTTTATTATCTTACCTTAAGTAATATCGCTAACTGAAATCTGCTAAGAACGGATCAAATGGATCAGATAAATCACCTCCGACCAGGTCAAAATGTCCAGAGGGTGGTGACAACGAATGATCGCCTAAGGAATGGTCGAAGTGATCAGTCGAAAGCGTATCAGAAAATTCCGAAGTTGGCCTAAGTGATTCTCCGTCGGATTCTAACAGTAATTCTAAATCGTCAAAATCTTGCATAACCAAGCCAGAAAGAAGTGCATCTTGAGATGAGGCATCAGACAGATCAAAATCTCTCAAAGCATCTGTATTGCAAGATGAACCAGGACTTTGAGCAGAACTCGCTGAGGACATAGCTTGTTCTTCCTCCTGGATTTGATTTTGTTGTAAAGCTCCACTTAACGCTGCGATGTACTGCATGGCAAGTCGTAAAGTCGTGATTTTTGTTAATTTTTCGTTGGCGTTAGACGAATTCTGGGCTCTTCTAGCTGCTGCGGTAAGCGGCACACAACTTCGCAAAGCTTCAAACGCTAAATTTATTTCACGCATTCTGGTTCGTTCGCGGGCGTTTGCTGTTTTCCGTCGATACTTGCTGAGCGGTGCCGCTTTTTGCTTGCTCTTACCGCTGCCACCACGATTGGACTTGTTCGTTAAACAACTAGTAATAGAATTGACTTGTTCCGACCCTCTGGGCCTCAAAGAATACTTATCACCTTTTTTGGATTTACTTAAATTCATATTCGGGTGAATCAAAAGTTCATGATTGCTATCATTATTATTAGCGTCCTGGTGCTGGCCGAGCGTCTGCTGCGGCTGTCGTGCACAGAAATCTCGCAGAACTAACGAAGTCATATTCGATTAAAATATTGTCTCTTGACCATCACGATCCGAACCCGCGGACAAGGAAAGGCGAGAACTAATTAAGACGCTGGACATTTAAAACATTTAAGAAAAATAAAAACTTCGTGGTACCAAAAAACCGGATCTTTCCTTTTTTCAAGACGTCGTTTATTAACACATTAAGCGATTGTTTATAGTCGTCGCATCGCGTGGATTTAAATTGTAACACATTTAAAGAAAACACACTGCATGGTCGTTAAATTTGTAATAGCTTTATAAATAAGAAGTAATAAAAAAAATGGTTGGATGTCGCGTTTCTTGAATGTTGGTCCAAAATTGTAAGGCACATAATAAAACAGTTATGAGATATTTTTGAACGGCACTTTTTGTCAACTTTTGATTATAAACACTTTTAGTCCAATTGTTTGTCCAACTGATAAATCCATTTATCAAAATCACTTTTTTGCAAATTTTCACAAACAATATTAATGTTAATTTTTTACCTTCGGATTCGTCGTTCGTTCGATTTAACAAAAAAAATTTAAATAAAATTTCGTAAATAAAATAAACCGTTTCGGCGATCGTTTAACTTCAGTACGTCGCCGATGCAGTCAGGAGACTGAATGATCTCTCTGGGACAATTCCGGCCGTTCTTAAACCCACGCAACGTAGGAATATGAACGCGTGCTGCGACTCACACCACACGTAGAGATGTTAAATGCACGAACACAAGAAAGGCCCGACACGCGCACCTATGCATCATTGGTCAATAATATTCATCGGGAGATTATTTAAAACAAAGACGAAATTCAGAGATTGATCGAGAAGAGAAGGGACAGGTTCAGAGAAATGTTTTTTAGGTGATCGAGAAGGGACGAAATGAGAGTTTAGCTTTGTATACAGGCGCTTTGGGATATGAACGATTTAAAATAAATCTATATATTTTAACAAATCAATGTTGTAATTATGCATGCACACCGAAAGGATAAAAATTTTCGAACAGATAATTATTATTACTTGGCGGGAATAGTTCATCAGTAGCGTACCCGGTCCTTTGCTCGATTCTTGGCAGTTACATGTAAAACATGAATAATTTAATAAAAATTAAATTACTGATTAGAAATTGGATAGATATAGAAGTAAGATGGAATTCAAAAATAGTTAATTCGAATTTAAAAATAATTAGAATTGTAGAATTGCATTAAATAAAATTAGAAGTAAATAGAAAGCAAGAGTAGATATAGAATTGGAGAAGATCAGAATTAAGTTGAGTTGAATTTGAATAAAAAATTAGAAGTAAGAAAAAAAAAACAAAATTAGAATTCGAGAAGATCAAATTTAGAAGAATGAAGAAATCAGATGCGAAGAGCGAACATAAGATAGAATAGCATATAAATAAAAAAGATAGTATAGAATATATGAGAAGGCCCGGTTAATGCGATTAAAATTTAAGATTTTTCCACTGCTATGCGGTAACCTTGTATTTATGTATATATATTTGGGTGATTCTCAATATGGATATTTCCGAATTTCCTTGCTCCAAGGGACTCAAATGCTTCCAAATTGATAAAAAAACTAGCTGTAAGTGGAATTCTGTCTTAAGGCAATTAAGGCATCGTGCCTTAAAGCAAATTGCTGGAACTTACCGTACCAAAAATTATTATTTTTTTAAAAACGATTACCATTTTTGAAAAAATTTTACTTCGAAAAAATAAGATTTTTGAGAAACTCTAAATTGGACAAAATATTACTTCTTTTTGAAAAAAAAAATTTGACCGCCAAATGCCATTTTTTTTTTACTTTTTTCGTTAGATCTCCGAAACCGCTAGACCTGCCCTCATGAAAATTTGTTCATTTCTTCATCTTGTCAATACAAGTAAAAATGTTTTTTGAATTATTAAAATCGCACGCTCCGTTCTCTTAAAAACTGAATTACCGTTTTCGGCACTTTTTGCCCCGTATCTTCGGAACGGCTAGACCTGCCTTCGCCAAAAACCAATCAACATGTCTCCTTATCAATACGAATCGAATGTTTTTTAAATTATTCAAATCGGTTGATCCGTGTTCCCGAAATCGTCGACGAAAATTAGTATACATACACACACACACATACATCTATTATTTCTAAGGTATGCCAAAATATTCAAAAACCTTTGAAACGTCTAAAAATGCAAACATTTTCATTTTCGATTTTTTTTTAAAGATAATACTAAGAGCTAAAACTTTCCAAGATTTTTTTTTTATTAATTTGGAAACATATGAGTCCCCCAAAGATGCTATTTGCCTGGGAGCAAAGAAATTGGAAAATATCCATATTAAGAACCATCCTAAATTGTATATGTATATATATATATAGCTATCGGGTACAGCTATATATATATATATATATATATACATATACGCGTTACTGTGTTATACCTATAAATAAAAATCTAAAGATAAATGCAATTGTGTTCTGGTTATTATGATGAAAAACAGCGCACGCATTCTTTGTTGACTGATATTAGATGCATCTTCGAGTGAAATACCCCATTCAGCATCGCAATATAAGCTAATAAGCATTTGAGTATTTTTTTACTCTCAGTAATTATACTGTAAAAACAAAACAACATACATCACAGCACATAACACATCAAGCAACCAACTATTGAAATATGTTCAAAAAATTTCCCAGAGATTGCCTAAAGTTAGAAATATTTTATTGCTATTTTTTTTCTAAAAAAAAATTTCTGACTCTTTTTACCCTATAGGGTGCAAACATTTAGTGTTATATGTTTTTTTATATACGCATTATAAAAAAATAAAATCTGATTGATAAAATAAAGAACAGTCTAGGTTTGCCAACGCTTACCACTTGGTTTCAATCAGAATATGCATACACCTGTCCGGGGTTATACCTAACATTTTGGATTTTTAGCGATTATTATAACTTACTCAGCGGAAAGTTAAAAATTGACTTAATTTTTTTCAATTCTTGTACAAGAATTTGAAAATGCATGTGAATAAAAAATAGCAAAACAGAAATTATACGACAGAGTTTTTTTTTTTCATAAAATGACTGCTAATTCAATAATTTGTGAATTTATTATCAGAGTTATTTTTTGCTCAATATATTGAATCACTGGCTATTTCTCGATCAAAACAATTTTGTATCTACTTTATTTAGTATATATTCAATAAATCATCGAATCCAACAGTAAACCTTCGGATTGGTTTTAAGAAATAAATGAGAAAAAAATCATCGAAGCAAATGCATATTTTTGATTAATTATTATTTATCCATAACTATAATTGTATAATTTGCTCATTTGAGATGTAATGAATCCATGTAAAATATTATCCATGAAATGGCAATCATTTCCCAATGCATATGAACCGTAATTTATATTTGTCCAAATGTCTTCAAATTTACGCATGTATATAAATTTTTAAAGTAAATAATGTTTAACTAACTTCATGCAAATTTTTTATACATCTTTATTTGACTCATATTGTCTCTAATAGTTCTACCTGAAATAAAAATAGAAATAATAGACAATCAAATTGTCTTTAAAATAAAGATCGATGCTATTTGTAGACCTTTGTAATTGAATTGATACTTAAAAGTTGTGCATCATTTTATAAAATAACTAGCTGTTTTCCGAAGCATACACAATGTGCGGAAAGGGTTGGTTGGTTGTTAAAATTAATAGAGTAATTTTTTTAGTGGCCATTTTTATCAATTTAGTTTTCTAATCGCAAAAAAGTATTGATGATTCAAGTTTTTCCTTTGCCATTTAACCATTATTTGACTATGTGAATATATTTAAAGAATTCTTTGAGACTCATGAAAAAATAATTGAAGAAATACCTCGATGAAAATTAAGGACTTTACCATTTATCTGCTATATAGCTTCGAGCATAAACTTGTAGCTTTATGTTATATCTGATCAATTTAGTGGCTTAATTAATTAAATATAATTAAGAATACTCTTCACATAAAATTCAGTGACGAACTGTGACAACATGATATACTTTGGATATGATGTTAAGAACGTGAATTTCAATCAGAAGGATATTTGTAGAGGAGAAATTGATTTATTTGAATTAACTGTTGATTTCATTAAAGATCATGGTGTAATTTGTTTTATTGGCTAAGACCAAGGCTTAGAATTACAATTTTTTTTTTTTTTTTTTTGTTACAATTTATTTTTGTTAATCAAGACTTTAATGTCTTATTTACAAAATTGATATGAGCAAAAAAAAATACAAAAAAAAACAAAAAATGCAATACATTGAATATAAAATGAAAAAAGTTAAAATAAAAATTAAAATAAAACAGTAATACAAAAATAATAACATAAATGAACGATGACGTGATGATGTATGCCGCGTACTACGTCAGGGCGCGTGCAGACATTGGGCTAGGTGTTTGGTAGATCGGAAGGCCATTTCTTGCTCAATCTTCTTATCGGTCTCTGAATCGCTTGAATTGTAGGATTTGTATGCTGGATTAATTTGTTGTTGAAAGATGAACTTCTAATCTTGATCATTTCGTTGACAGTTGAGATTTTCAAATCCTTATGTAGGCAAAAATTCGAAATATACCAAGGCGCATTAGTAAGGATACGCAGAATTTTATTCTGGCACCTTTGAATGATGTTTATGTTAGATTTGCATGAGCAACCCCATAGTTCGATTCCATAAGTCCAAATGGGCACTATGATAGTTTTATACAAAAGTACCTTGTTATCGAGAGAGATTTCAGATTTCCTCCCAAAAAGCCAGTAAAAATCTTTCATTTTTAGTTGGATTTGTTTCTTTTTATATTCAATGTGCGTTCTCCATGTCAATTTCGAATCAATGTGCATGCCTAAATATTTAACAGAATTGCATAGTGGAATTATTGAATTGTTCATGATGATAGGTGGACTGTTGTGATGTTTTAGAGAAACAATTATGTGCTGAGATTTTTCGATATTGATTTTGATATTCCAATCTGAAAACCATTTTTCGAGACTAGATAAATAATTTTGTAACTGACAAGTTGCTGTTCTAATATCGGAATTGCATGAAATAATTGCTATGTCATCGGCGTAAGTGCATATGGTTAGAAGATCATCTGTGGGCATATCGTTTGTGAAAAGAAGATAAAGTACAGGGCTTAGCACACTGCCCTGTGGTACCCGCATTCTATATTTCTGATGCTCGAAGTCACATCTTTAATTTTGATTCTAAATTTTCTATTAAGCAAATATGAGCTTAAGATATTGAAGTAGTTTGGAAAAGTTGTTTTGATTTTATATAGGAGTCCTGAGTGCCAAACCTTATCAAAAGCCTGACTAACATCTAAGAATACGGCTACGCTGTGTTCCTTTCTATTCATGGCTTCAAGAATACGAGACACCGTTCTGTTGCATTGTTGAATTGTAGAGTGATTTTTTCTGAAGCCAAACTGATGGTGAGGAATCCAACTATCATTCGGATGATCTTCTGACAATCTCTGCAACAAAAGCCTCTCTAAAATTTTCGATAATATCGATAAAAGACTGATAGGACGGTATGAACTAGCAGTGTGATGGTTTTTGTTTGGTTTAGCGATCATAATAATTTCTGCAGTCTTCCACGCTGTGGGCCAATAATTGTATTGAAGTATGGCGTTGAAAATATTTGTTATATATAAAATACCTTTCGTAGGCAATTCTTTTAACATCTTTGGAGTAATTTTATCCATACCCGGCGAAGATCTATTTTTTATCCTTTTTATTTCACATAAGACGTCATTTGGTGAAAAATGTCCCAACGGTGTAGAATGTATGGGTTGATTTACGAAATTGTTAATTAAATTATTCTGGGAAATATTTCGAGCGCTAAAAATGCTACTTAGATGATCAGCAAATGCCTCCGCTTTTTCTTCGTTGCTTTTTGCCCAAATGAATCCGTTTTGGTTGGTTATTTTCAGAGGAGGGTTTTGTTGTAGGGGTTTACTTTTGTTTCTGATTGGTTTCCATATGGAATTATCGTATCTATTTAGCTGCAATATATACGACCTGAATGTACAATTCTTCCATTCTTTCATTTTTTTCCTCAACGTGTTATTGAGATGATTGAGCGATGTCTTATCCGTTGGTAGATGAGAATGTTGCCAGGTACGTCTTGCTCTTCGTTTCTGTGCAATTAGCTTCTTAATCTCTTGCGGAATTATTAGATTATCATTTCTTGGAATAATGTTCGGGGTGATCTGCTTGGTTGTTTCACGTACAATCTCAGAAAAATAATCTATATTATTTTCTATATCAATAACGCTTGTAGGCCTAGATTTTGGAAATAATTTTGAATCAAGTATGGATTTGAATTGAATCCAGTTAGAAAGATTGTTGTGTAGAATATGATTGTTGATAACTGTAGTAGGAAATGTGCTAAACGTCACAAGTATTGGAGAATGATCTGAAGAGAGATCGTAACTAGATTCAACATTGAGATTTGAAAGATCAATACCTTTCACAATAAAAAAATCTAAAAGGTCTGGAACTTTAGTAGGGTCAGAAGGCCAATAAGTTGGACTGCAAGTTGAAATAAAGGAGAGGTTATTTTGCCCTATGGCTGCATGAAGAATCTTTCCTTTGGCTGTAGTCAGTCTAGAACCCCAGGCAATATGTTTACAATTAAAGTCACCACCAATGATAAATTTATTACCTAATTGAGAGAAAAATGAAGAAAACTGAGCACAAGAAATTTTGAATCTTGGTGGACAATAAACAGCAGAAACACAAAAATTATATAAATTTGTTTCAACAGAAATTTGAGTTGCTTGTAGAAAATCATCAGAAATATTTGGTAGAACAAAATGCTTTATATTATTTTTGATTAATATAGCCGAACCGCCGCGAGCCCTGCCACTTGGGTGATTTGAATTATAAGTAGTGTAGTTATAAATTTTAAAGTAGTTTTTTTCAGTGAAGTGAGTTTCTGAGATTAATAAGATATCTATTAAGTTTAACTTTAAAAAACATTCTACTTCATTTTTGTGAGGTATTAAACCGTTGGCATTCCATTCAGCAATTTTAATTATTTTTGCCATTGCTTTTGTTGTTGACTAACGTGGATAACATATTTATTATTATGGTGTTCTGTTGCAAAAGCTGATTGAAGATATTTTTAAATTCTAAAATAAGTGTTGCTAGAGAATCAGAATCGGGATTTGAAGGTGAATGATTAGAAGCAGAGTAATTGTTTTTTGCAATGTCTGCATAGGATGAATTTTGAATTGTTGGATTTAAGGCCGGAGAAATGTTGTTTATTTTATTATTAGAATTAGAATTATTAGAATTATTAAAATTTTGGTTATTTGGATTTGGATTTATGACTGATTGATTTACTGGAGTTTTGTTTCTTTGTTCTTTAATTTTTTGGAAGTATGAGCAACCGCGATAATTAGCTGGATGAGCACCGTCGCAAAAATAACAACAAGCCGGAGCATTCGGATCTTTGGTACAAGCTTTAGTATTATGATTGTCACCGCATTTTAGGCAAGCAAATGGTCTATTGCAGTATTTTTTGGTGTGATTAAAGAGTTGACAGCGAGTGCATTGTATAATGTTGTTGGACTTTCTCGGTGGTTCGACGCGTATTATGCAGTTGAATAATTTATAAATGTTATAAATATTTTTGTTATTTCTATTTGGTTCCAGATCAACAAAAAACATATTAAGAGGTTCTTTTGTTATTCTATGTCTAATATTTAGGATATTACGTACGACATGACCCTGTTTTAATAGTTCTAATTTAATTGCATCTGTGCTTGTCGAAAAGTGTACATTTCTAAGAACAACCCTATAAGCCTTCTCTTCTTTTAATTGATATGTATGATATACGGCATTAGTTTCTTTTAGATGTCTGGATAAAGTTCGAAAATGGTCGACAGAATTACATAGAATTTTAAATGTATTGTTAGCTAAACTTCTCAGGAAATATTGATCATGCGGAATTATTTCATTTAATTGACTAGACATATCATTAATATCGTCAACTCCGTAAATAAATATTGGAGGGGGCTTACTGACTGGGGCCGGTTTAACTAAGTTGTCATCATTAGCTGTGTCTATTGTTGAAAGGGCCGAAAATTTGTTTTGAATTTTGACATCTATTCCTAATGGTTCAAATGAAGTTTTTCTTTTTTTGAAATTGACTACTTGCCATGAATTAGGAGGTTTCTTGACATCAGAATGTGGTTGAGTGAGGCTTGTAGATGCATTATTACTAGATGATATTACTTCCTGTCTTGAGTCAGAAACTGATGAAGTTGAACGCAGCGAGACCTTTTCCGATGTAAACATATTGGTCCGACCTTCTTCGCGAGGTATCTTGCTGTATTTGCTGGATCCAATAACGGTCTTTCGTAGTTTTGGGATTTCTGATGGTTTACTGTCCGATTCCATATTCGCTTCTATATCTTGATTGAAATGTAAGACATTTTTTTGATTCCACAAACGCACATTAGAATCTCGATTATGTATGGTTTTTTGTAAGCAATTATTTAATTATCTGTACACTTTTGTAAGCTTTTCATGCAATTTTAATAAACCGTAAAATTCAATCTGACATGCACTTGTTTTTTCACTTGTTGAATTGTTAAAACAATTCAGAATTACAATATGTACAAAAAATCTGGTGCACGTTATTTGATTCATGAAGCGGAGTAGTCTTTTGGTTCATAGTTAAACCTTTTAAAATAAAATAAAAAATCTGAATGTAACTTAACTAAATTACGCACTAATTTAAAAATACACACAATCTTACAAAGTAAATATTTTCCAGTTAATGCAATTTGAATTTTAAAATTCCTGGGAAATAATCAAATTTAATAAACAAATCTAAAGAATGAAGTAAATACATAAAAAAAGTAACATTTCTGTAAGTCGACGATGTTGACTTGATAAAAAGATATTTTTTTTTTCAAGTATAAGCGACAATGTTGACTTCAAGAACAAGTGGCAAAATCAACCAAAAAAGTTTTGGGATATGTTTTTAGAGAGAAACGAATAAAAAGCAAAATGATAAATTGGACGAAGAGATTTAGAGAGAATTTGTCTGGACACGATTTTGAAAAAAGAAAGAAACTGTATCGGAAAATGATCGATGACTCATGTGAAAATATACAAATAATTTAAATAGGAACCATGGAAGTTGATGATGTTCCAAAACAAAAAACAGATGTGAACTATATTATTAATAAGATAAAATTTTATTGTTAATATTAATGAAAATACTTTGCATTTTCTTTTTGCGCAAGTCGTAAATAATCTACGTCTTTCTCCATCCGAATTCAATCCTTTCTTGGGGAATCACTAAACTCTCTTTCATACGTATTCCTTTTTGCAATTGCTCTATTTTCTTAAAAAACTTTGCGCCATCTACATAATAAGTTTCCAGCTTTCTCGATTTACTTCAAGAGTGCCCCACCATTTGAATCGTAGTTTTAAACCATTGGTTTGCGTCAAGCATGATCAGGGGCTTAAAACCTTAGATAAAATATATAATTCTCAAAACCTGAAACTATTTTCAAAATAGATATAGATAACCATACTTGTTTATCTATGTAGATAACCATACTGAAAACGTTTGTTTTCAAGTAAATCACAAGAAGCTAATTCTTTTTAATGGTGTTTAAATTCATATTTTTAATTTAGGCTCTGCGAAAAAACCTCATGCATGCTTATTGATGTAAATCAGAATACTGCGTGCATAATAAAAACAGGCATTCTTAAGATTCAGTTATTAAAAATATATTTTATATTATAAACAATACATAAAAGGATCCTCTGGTAATATGTAATGTACAATAAAACAAACTATATTCCAAATAAAAAATCTAATTTCTCATTAAACAATTTATAAATATTATTATATACAAAATAACGATGACTTAAAATATATACCACAAACGTAGACATCAATATTTAAAAATAAAGTCATGGTTTATTATTCTGGAAATTGTTGCAGAGAAAATAGATTCTATTACTTCAATTTTTTGTGATATTACAAAAATACTTAAATTTTCAACGCTTGTAGTTCTTTGAGTAAATCTTGTTCAGTTTTAATTTTTGCTATTTGATTTATTTCTAAAGGTTTTCCTTCAGATTGCTGCTGTTTCAACTTTTCAATTGCATCCAGTTTCTAGCAAAAAAAAAAGTTTAAAAAAAGCAAAGATATTAGCATATAATATAACAACATTTGAAATGAATACCTTCATTATATTTTTAATTTTTTTGTCAACTTCTGCATCACCAGTTGTTGGCTTTGAATTTACTTCTGAATTTTGCTTTACAGTTCTTTCTCTAGATGTAGGTTGTTCACCGTCACCCTCATTGGCTTTTTTTGCTTTTTTAGCCTCTCTCTTCTTCTTTAATTTAATAGCTGCTTTTGAAGGGGGTCCTGATACAAATAAAGCTTACAAATTAATTTAAATTTTCAATTAAGGTTTTGAAAACACATATTGTGAAAAAAAATTAAAAAAATTCCTTTGGTGCAGAGCAAAGTTTATTTGAGTACACACCTGAACCAGGTATTCCTGGTGCTTCCTCAATATGAAATTTAACAGGAGCTACCCGATCTCTTGCTGATGGAGGTCTATATTAACAAAAAGGGATGATTAACTTATTCTTTCTAAGCTTGATATAAAATAGTTTGCTACCTGTAAGCCTGCTTACTAGCTATTGGTTGACTTGGTTGAATTCCCTGAACTTTTGTGTTATTTAAAACTGACTCTTTAAAAGTGCCCCTTGGGAATGTTTGCCAACAAACACTTAATAATTCTTCACCTGTAGGCCACATAGTCTCATGGAGTAACACACATGTATAATGCCATATTTTGAATCTAAAGCAGAAAAAAAAGTTAATATTATATATTACAACCATGCTATAATAAAGACTGAAATATTCTTTACCCATTAGACATGCGTAGTCTAGGTGCAGTTGTGGCAGTAACAAACACAAGCCCTGTAGGACTCCATTCCAATAATGTTGTACATGGGGCTTCAGTAGTACCTAATTGTTTGCGACCTTGTGCATCCCATACTTCTATGCGACCACTCAAATTACCAAACCCAGCCAAAATGAGCAGTATTGAAGGAATTAAGGACTTATATTCATTTTGTAAATAATAGATTGAAATAATAACTAAAATAATTCTAATTTCTATGAATCTCCAAGCAAGAATCTCCAAAAAAGTAATTAAAATAATTTCACTTTTATAATATTTATATTCTATTTCAAAGGATATTGTTTCCCAATTGATTGTAATAAATAGAGTTCCTAGGTCCTGTTCCAAATTCAAAAACCGGCTCACAATTAAGATTGAATAATGTAGCTTTAGCAGGCATATGACCGTAAACAACACAAAACTCTATATTCTTAGGACTCCATGCAACTGCATGAACAGACCCTTCTTTGGCTAAAAGAAGAGGACTAATTAGATAACTAAAACAAATATAAATTAATGCATTCTAGAAAACTTACACAACTGAACCATAGCAGTATCACCCTTGCAACTCATATACTGCAAAGATTGTTTTCCATAATATGAAGCACCAGTTTGGTCAACATCAGTTGCTGTTAGAAGAAGTAGATTTGTTCCACGATTATTCCACAAAAAATCAACCCTGTCAGCCTTTGTGAAAGTGAATTATGTATTATTAACAAACTATAGAATTCATTTTAATGCTATTTTTGAAATACCTGGAAAAAGCTTTTTGAAGCTACTGGTTGACTGATATTAGGATATGCAAATAATTTGCAAGTCGATGGCTGAGCTTGCGCACCTGCAATAAAAATTAATTAGCAAACTTTTTTTTTTGCATTGTAAAGCAAACAACACGGATTGCACTGGAAATCTGAAACTCACCAGGTACATAAAAAGCTAAAGTGGTTGTAGTATTAGATGGTGATATGCTTATTCTTCCATTTCGACCTCCCCCAATTTTTTTGGTTGGCTTTCCATCCCATGATGTTCCAAACTCACATTTATCTATTTCATAAATAAATAATTCTCCACCATTCATTAATGCCATTATACTCTCATCTCCAGACCACTCCGGTTCCCTAAAATATACAGAAATACTTTAACATCCTGGATGTCTTTTGTAAGTTTAATTTAGGTTCATAATTAACTTCCCGAAGGAGAAGTTTATGTTTTCATAAAAAAATCTGATTCGCTAATTTTATGTTTTCTCAACAGTTCAAGCCATTCTGAAGCTAATGAGACCAAATTTGGAAAAAGTATGTGTGTGTGTATGCAAACAGATTTTTTGTCATAAATCGACGTTTGCTCAAAAAACGGCTGGACCTATTTCAAAAATTTAAAAGCCATTCGATGCATCTCGATTAGGACTAGTATTTATCAATTTATCAATCAGCCAAGCCGTTTCTTTGTAAATGGCAGAAAAGTGAAAAATTTTTCGTCCACGTTTTAGACCGCAATTCAGAATTGATTTTGAAAATTCAAAAACCGTTCGAAAAATATTGTTTGAGAATCGTGCTGATTAGTAGAGAACAGCCGGGCCGTTAACTTGATTATTTACACATACTGGGTATTTCATGTAATTTGCCCCAAGGCAAAATACCAATACCAACTAGTTTAAATATATATTTACCGTGATATTCAAAAAATAATGATAAAATTATTATTAACAATTAATTTACCATTCAGTTTGTTTCTTTTGCACAAATGACATCACCAACTCTCCTGTTTCAACCAGAAATACATTTAAGTTATTAAAACCCTGCAATGATATTTAATTCATTAATTTGTGAATCCAGTCTTAGTTTAGAATTTTCATAAAATAAAACATTTTATAACCAGAAAAAATATTGTTCCAAGTTTTAATGACCATTACTGTTCAATTATCAAATTAACTTAGATGAATTATGAGTAATTAGTTCTTTTTTAATTCCATGATCAATTTGAACATTAGAAATATAATTGCACAATTCACAATAATAAGCTATATTCCAAAAAAAGAATTATACCCCTAAAATGATGTGAAATATATTTAAAGTTAGATTTAATAATATGTTGTACAATTACTTACTTGAGGATTTGTTTTATTTGTTGCATAAATTTCATATGTCATCAAATATGTATCTTTGGGTGAAAATTTTAGATCTAACACTTTTGTCCGAGGAATTTCCACTTTTAACTTCCAATCGCTGGTGCAACACACTTTAACGCTTTAATAAAAAAATTATACTGTAAGAATGAAATGTTGGAAATAAGTTTGGTATGTTTAATAATACTTTGTGCTGTTTGTCCAGGCAAAATATTTGCCATTGGGGCTGAATACCATAGCCTTGCATGATTTGTTAACTTCCTTATCAAAATCTTGGCATTCACTATAATTACCACTTTCTGAATTTCCATTGTTGTTAGACCACACACAAATTCCGGAGCTGCTCCTAACTAACAATATTTTAATTTAAAATTGAAAATAATTATATTTTTGACTTAACCTAAGTTTTAACAAATAAAAGTATTAGCAGAATTACCAGCCAAGATTGGTACCGCGCTCATATTGGTGAAAAAATTGAGTAATATTATGAATCTACTTAATTAACTAAAATCATTTTGTAAAATATACAAAAAAAATGTTAAACGTGTTGGAAATTGACATTTTTCAGGTGATATTTAACTTTTGCTAAAATTGGTAAACTTGTTAATTTTTTGCTAAGTTCACTTTAGTTCACTGACGTCTGAACATTTCGGCGCCAATAAACGTTAAATGTCATTTTACCCGGTCTTATTATATTTTCATTTATATTCTATTTATTAAATGACAGTAATTTTTTAACAATGCAAGCATTTTTAAAAGGCGGAAAAATCACAACAGAGAAAAAACCATCTAAGTCGAACGTTGAGAAAAAAACTGCTCCAACACCTTGGGTCGAAAAATAGTAATAAAATAACCATATCTATATTAAATTTTTTGAAATAACAATAACAATCCAATTTTTTCAATTAAAGCCGTCCTAAATCTGTTGATGATGTTGTTGAACAAGGGGAAGTCATAGCTGTTTTAAAAAAATGTTTATCTGGAGCTGATCTGCCTAATTTACTTCTTTATGGACCTCCTGGAACTGGTGTGTTGAAATAAAATGGTTATATGTATATATATATATATATATATATATATATATATATATATATATATACACCATTTCCTCAAAGCACGTTATAATTGTTCAGTATATAATTGAACGTTATGTATTAGAATTTTATTTTATTCATATATCTTCAATGGTTCAAATTTGAATAATGACAATTAATTAATTTAGGTAAAACAAGTACAATTTTGGCTGCTGCTCGCCAATTGTTTGGAGATATTTATAAGGATCGAATACTGGAATTGAATGCTTCTGATGAAAGAGGAATCCATGTTATTCGTAGTAAAGTCAAAACTTTTTCACAACTTTCGGCTAGTGCTACTAGGCCTGAGTAAGTATAATATTCTAATGTGAAAAATGGTGTAAAAGTCAGTTAATTTTTAGCTTTTTGTTGCACAATTTTTGTGGTTTTGTTTTATTATAACAAAGCTAGTAAAACTTATTAAGTATCTAATAATTTATTACTAAAGTGGTTTTAGATGTATCCATGAAAACTCATAGATGAGTGATATAGAATCTAAAAGCAGGTGTAAATAATTTGAATAATGCAATATGAAAACTTCTTAATAAAAAGGAACCAATTTTTTATTATGGGTAATCACAAAATACTTTCAAAGCGTATATCTTCTAGTTTGAAATTATATTATAAATATTTATGAGTCTACATTTTAATACAATTTTGTAGAAAAAGTAACTATATTTTTCTTCTTTTTTTCTTTTTTCATTTATTTATTTGATATTATAATTCGTACATACTGTATCTTAGTCAGACAATTGTTCTGGTATGAGAGATGACAGCAATCATAACAAAAATAAATCTAAATTTTATGTAACAGACTTACATTAAGACATCTATATATTTTTACTTATTACTGTTATATACATTTAATTGTAATTAATATTTAAACAGAACAGAAGTAATTTAAAGTATTTAAAATAAGGAATTTTATCACTTATGTACCACTAAACTATGTATTATAACTTCTAGTTCTCTAATTATTGTCATAAACTACAAATTCCTTGGTTTAAAAAATGATTAATTTCATTACTTAATCATTTATAAACCAAATAAGATATCAAACAAATAAAATTAATATATTTGGTATGATATCATATTGGATTCTATTTGCAAGTTGTTCAAATATTTTACAATTTTTTAGTGGAAAGCCATGTCCTCCATTCAAAATTATTATATTGGATGAGGCTGATTCTATGACACATGCTGCTCAGTCAGCTCTTCGGCGTACTATGGAAAAAGAAACAAAAACTACAAGATTTTGTTTAATATGCAATTACGTGTCAAGAATTATACCTCCCTTAACTTCAAGATGTACCAAATTCCGTTTCAAGCCCTTGGGGGAAGAAAAAGTTATTGAGAGGTAACTGAAAATATAATGATAGGAAGTTATGAAATCGATTATTATTTATATGACTAAGATATCAATAAGATATCAATAATTTCTTTACTTAAATACTTATGTCTTAAACTGCTTGTTTTCATCATTTTTATCGTATGTTATAAATATCACATTTCTAGTATTAAATTCAAAAATCATTTTTAGGTTGAACTTCATATCTGCTGAGGAAAATATAACTATCTCAGAAGGAGTGCTTAAAACGCTGGCTGTTACCAGTGGTGGTGATATGAGAAGAGCTATAACTTGTTTGCAATCTTGTTCCCGTTTGAGAGGAAAAGATCAAGAAATAAGAGAGTCTGATATGTTTGAAGTAACAGGTTTAATACCAGATAGGAAAATAGTTGAATTATTAGAAGTTTGTAAAACTTCAAATTATTCAAAACTTGAAGATTTTGTTGAAGAATTAAATTTATCAGGGTATTCCATTGCTCAATTCTTTGAACAATTTAATGAATATCTTGTTAATACAGATGGTTTAACTAATAAGCAAAAGGCTATGATCGGAAAGAAACTGGGTGTAAGTACTAACATAAATTTTATGGTAAATGGTGAAAATGATCATTAATTTTTTTTTTCAGGAATGTTGTTATAGATTGGAAGATGGTGGTTCTGAAAGCTTACAGATGATGGATTTAGGATGTCATATAATATTGTCACTGATTGCTAATGAATAAGTATTATTGTTGAAAGTTTTTATACTTCATTTTTATTTTAACGAAATAAATTATGTTGATACAGAAAATTGCATTTTCATAATTAACTGCTGAAGTTGCTATATCATCTATAAATATCTTTTTTTACTATATTTACGGAGTACAACTGAATTTTTGGGGACACTGTATAAACCACTGCAGAAAACTATGTTTACATTTTGTTTATGTTTATTAATATTATTCAATCAAGAAAAGAAATAATCCAAAAATGCTTAACATCAAAGGAGGTAATTCTAGGAAAAACTGATCAGTTTTTTCACTGCAGAACTTCCCGAAAAAAATAAACATTAATGACTAAATTCATTAAAGTTTGTAAAACTACCAAGCCTCGAGACTTGTTTCGTTTTTCGGGAATTTTGTTATAGATTGTAAAATGGAGATTCTGAAAGTTTGCAGATGATAGATTTAAGATGAATAATTATTATTCTTGTAAATGTTTGTTTATACAATAAAATTAATCTTTCTTTGATATAGGTAGTTGCATTTTTCTGGTTACCTACTAAAGTTAATTTTATTAGTTTTATTTAAGTCGCATAGATAACAGAGGTGGGTTTTAATTTTTTTATATGAATTAGATTTAGTAGAATTTATATTCTACTAAATCTAATCCTGTCACATTCTATGCTTTTAACTTCAACAACCATATATACAGAATTACTTTAAATAATAATATTATTACTACCCAATATTTGGTAATTCTATTCAATATGCTCAGTAAGTCAAAACAAAATTTATTTTTGTTGTACCTTAATTACTTTAAATTGATATTGTGTTAGTTCTATAAAAAATTACCAACAATTATTAAATAAAAAAATATTTGCAAATAATTCATGTAAAAATAATAAAGAGAGTTAAAATAACGTTTAAATGCTTTCAACAGCAATATTAAAAAAATTACCTAACAATAAGTGTAAGAAAATGTAGAATGATTAAGCTGTTTGCTAAATATACAAATTTGCAATAATTTCAGATATATATTTTGTGTATTTTCAGTAATTATCACAATATTTCGACTATTGCTCAGTTTACTATTTTTGAATTTAAATTATACTTGTATATAAAATGTTTGTATATTAACAATATATGTTCTTGAGCAAGAATTTAAATAAAAAGCCATGTTGTTTTATAAGTATTTGAAATATTAGTACTAGTCTTGTAATATTTCTATAAATGTTTGCGAAATTTATTTTTCGCGATTATTATTATTATGAAAAACCTAATTTAAATTGTTTTGAATTTGAATTTGAATTTTAAATTAATTTTTAAAATTATTAGCTCTTTTTTCAATGTTGGTGTAGTGATTGACCCGTAAAAACTTCACTACGTTTTCTTATTCTATCGGTCAAATGTCTCCATTACGCATCGTGTTGACAGTACTGTGTTCATTTTCTTATTCTTGTTGATTTTGAAGTGATTTTGAAAGACAGAAGGCGCATATAATAATTGTAAGAACATACATTGTCGATAAGTTGCTTCATTATTATTGTTATATTTATTACTATATATTGTGCTGTTATTTTAGAAACAATTAGGTTGGAGACATAAACATGGCTGCTAGAGCTAAACGTTCGTTACCCCAAGAAGACCTGTCAGGAGTAGAGTTTGAAACTAGTGAAGATGTTGAAGTTATACCCACTTTTGACTCAATGGGTCTTCGTGAAGAACTTCTCAGAGGTATATATGCTTACGGCTTTGAGAAACCATCAGCTATTCAGCAAAGATCAATTCAACCAATAGTCAGAGGTCGAGATGTAATCGCTCAAGCTCAATCTGGTACTGGTAAAACTGCAACATTTTCCATATCTATACTTCAGTCTATGGATATAACAGTAAGAGAAACACAAGTGTTAGTGCTATCTCCGACAAGAGAATTGGCTACACAAATTCAGAAAGTCATTCTCGCTTTAGGTGATTTTATGAATGTCCAGTGTCATGCTTGTATTGGAGGTACAAATCTAGGTGAAGATATAAGAAAATTAGATTATGGTCAGCATGTAGTAAGTGGCACACCAGGCAGGGTGTTTGATATGATACAGAGAAGAGTTTTAAGAACTCGTTCAATTAAGATGTTAGTTCTTGATGAAGCAGATGAAATGCTTAATAAAGGATTTAAAGAACAAATTTATGATGTATACAGATATCTCCCACCAGCTACACAGGTGGTTTTAATTTCAGCCACACTTCCACATGAAATTTTAGAAATGACAAGCAAATTTATGACTGACCCAATCAGAATTATTGTAAAGCGTGATGAATTGACATTAGAGGGAATAAAACAGTTTTTCGTAGCAGTAGAACGTGAGGAATGGAAATTTGATACACTTTGCGATTTGTACGACACATTAACCATAGCACAAGCAGTTATTTTCTGCAATACAAAACGTAAGGTAGACTGGCTCACTGAGAAGATGAGAGAAGCAAATTTCACAGTATCCTCAATGCATGGTGACATGCCTCAAAAAGAAAGAGATAATATTATGAAAGAATTTAGATCCGGTCAAAGTCGAGTACTTATCACTACTGATGTCTGGGCGCGTGGTATTGATGTGCAACTTGTTTCTTTAGTTATTAACTATGATTTACCAAACAACCGTGAGTTATATATCCATAGGATAGGTCGATCAGGTAGATTTGGAAGGAAAGGTGTGGCAATAAATTTTGTTAAATCCGATGATATCAGAATTTTAAGAGATATTGAACAATATTATTCAACACAAATTGATGAAATGCCTATGAATGTGGCAGATTTGATTTAAGTTTAGTCTAATTTAAATGGAAAAGTGAAATTTTATTTCTAATTGAACTATAAATTTTACATCTTATTATTTGAAGCAATACTACTAATGGGCTTTATTTGAAATAAACATCATGATAATGTAAACATCTGTATGAAACATTCAGTAACTTAAATATATGGATTATTTTATACATTTTGTTTTTCTTGGAACCAAAGATAAGGTTGATCATTATAATCAGTAAAATCACTGATACTCTATAATCTCAACTCTTTACAGATGTAATTCTGTGATTAATTAATTTTGTGTTTTTATATGTTATAATTTGTGATAAAATTATATTCATAGATTTTACATTTAATTCTACTCAGACTTTGCACAAAAGATTCTCATAATTTGCACTATGTGTTGATAATTAAATTCATATTCATAAATTGGTGTAATATGTTTTCATCAAGCATTTTAAAATGATTCTATGAAGTCACATTATTGTTTGCATAACTTATATTTATATTATAATAATATATATTGTATTATTAACTTCCCGTAGAGTGGTAAGTTATAGTAATCGCAAACAAATCGAAAATGAAAATTTTTATATATCTTTAGGTTTAAAAGTTTTTGAACATTTTGGCATACCTTAGAAAAAATGGATGTATGTGTGTGTGTGTCGACGATTTCGAGAACATTCGGTTCGTATTGATAAGGAGACATGCTGATTAGTTTTTAGCAAAGGCAGGTCTGGCCGTTTCGAAGATACGGCGCAAAAAGAACCAAAAGCCGTAATTCAGTTTTTGAGAGAAACGTCCGATTTGAATAATTCAAAAAACATTTTATTTATATTGACTAAACGAAGAACTGTTTGAATTTTTGGAAAGGCAGGTCCAGTGGTTTTGGAGATCCAATAAAAAACGTGAAAAAAGCCATTTGGCGGACAAAAATGATTTATAGACATATACACATCAAATTATCACATGTTTTATCATATATTTTAATAATAACAATTTTTGTTCACTTCTACGGGTTCCGTACCAATACTTATCCGTTAGACTGCAACGGGGCGCTCACGCGCTTCGGTATTTTGTTTCTACGTAGCTAACGTACAGAGATTGTTTTGAAAAAAATTTAAATTTCCAAAATATTTCAAAGAAAAATCAAATTTTTCAAAAAGTCTTGAAAAATTTCAAAATTTCAAAAATCGATTTTTTTTTTGTAGTTCTAAATGAAAATTGAATCATTTAAATTTTAGTACGAAAATTTTAAATCTTAGTACGGAAAGTTCCAGCAATTTGTCTTAAGGCATGATGCCATGCACCACTATAGTTTATACTTAACTTAAAATAAGAAGAATTTTTTTTTTGCAAAATGTAAAAATATATGAAATTAAATGAATATTTATTTATCATTCTTATTATTTATCTATCTAATTTTCTGAATTTTTCACAAATGATTCCATATATTCACCTCCTTACAAAAATGGAAAAAGGAAATGCAAACTACGTTTAAATTATTAATTTTTTTGAAAAATTGTTGTTTTGCTTTCTGCTTGCGCTTGTATTTTTGATACGGCTGATACAGAGGTGCTTACCATTATTATATTGTCACTATATATAAGAATACATCTATTCTAATATATTGTCTAGGATATTGTCTAGGGTAGTTACGCCCCTGATATGAAGGTAACTTTATAAACTATATACAGTCACAATGAGTTGTCTGGTTGAACCGTTATATTCCTAGACAATATTAGAATACGATGTGTTCATGTGTGGTTCTATTAATATTTTGAAGTCAGTAAAAAAGCTCGTCACTATTGCACGAATCCGTACGACGAATCTATTCGCAATGTGCGCATTGCAAACAAAAGCAAACACGAGCAAGTTGCGAACAGGATTCGCCTGGATTCGTGCGCATTCGTGCAATGGGGATGCACCATTAGATTCATCTAATTATTTCAATAAAAAACATTTCGCGAACGTTTCGAGACTTTTTTTGACTCGTCTTCGGGTGTATGCATACAAATTTGTATGCATAAAAATATTAATATTTTAAACAAAAAAACAATGGACAACAAACAATAAACACATATATTTATAATATTCATGTATATGTACACAAATATCGGAATGGCCGTTCAGTCGTTTGTTTCATTTAAATCTTGACGTTCGTTTCGTGTTTGTTTTCACAATCTAGTTAACCTCAATTTGTTATAAATGGCTATGTAGTTTGTGATTATAATAATCAATATATTTTCGAAATCTACATATTTCGAAAATAAAAAGTTTAAAGTCTTGCTGAAAGTCTTGGCACGCAAGTCTTGTTGTTATACTGTCAAAAATTCTTTGATATAAGATAAAATTGTTGGTTACCGGCAAAATGGTTAATAAATTGTTTTACAACACAGTTTTAAGTCAATGTTTTTCGAATTGTGGAAAATATCTAATTACTGGTAATTTATATGGTGATATATCAATTTTTGAGTAAGTAATTTATTTAACTCTTTTTTTTAAGGTTATGTTTACATCATTTATTAATTAAGTTTTTCCTTTCAGTCTAGATAATGTATTAAATCCTACAGATGCTATTACATCAGAAATACAGAAGCCAGTCTGTAATTTTTCAGCAAGTGCTAACTTTCCTGTTTGGAGCCTGGTTATGACAAACACCTTTCTAGTCGCAGGCTCTGTGAATGAAATATTTGGGTGGAATTTCAAATCCCTCTTGTCTTCTAATGTTACAAAACCAGCTTGGACGATAAAAACTTCATCGAATAGGTAATATAAATAATTATATTGAGTAATGTTTTATAAGAAATTATACATCATGTAAGTAGTACGATTTTTCAAATCATGGTTTTGCTTTTTTTTGTCTCTTAAATAAAAATTAAAATAATTTCAGTACCAATTAATCATAAGCTGCAATTAAATAATCCAGTGAATTTCAAAGTTTTTGTTTTAATTGTAGTAAATATTATAGAATTACTAAATCATTCAATTGTTCCAAAGATTTTGTTTTAATTTAATTGCACTTAATATTAAACAATTATTGCACTTAATAATAAACAATTATTACGCTAGGAAGAATGACTTAAGAATAACTATTCAAGAATATATGCACGAGAGGTTTCTTTCAATTCAAATTATATTCTAGAAAAGATGTATTTGACCAAGATAACCTTCTTCTGTTTGCTTCCTTTTGCTAAACTTTAAAAGCGTTTTTTCTTCTAAACTGTACATGATTTTCTAAAATGTACATGATTTTTTGAGCTCTACAGGGACGATTCACTTGAAATTTTCAGAGAATCTTCTTTATAGACTTCTCCCTAGTACTTATTAGCCTCATCCCCAAATTTGAATTTCTACTATTTTTAAAAAAATCGAGAATCTCAAGAAAGTGGTAAGACAATGGTCTTTTTTTTAAACATTTTGTCAAAAAGTTAACTACAGTAGAACTCCAATTATCAGAATTAATGGGCACCGGGACCCATTCGGATAATCAAATATTCGGATAATCGGAGTTTGTTTTTAAAATTGCCATTGGAGAGAAAAAAAGTTACGTTTTGATATTGCACTATTTTTTTATTGAATTAAATGAAAGAAACATGACATTTTCACATGTTTTAAATATAAATAAAATGTACTTATGTACAAGTTTAGAAATAAAAATCATTGATTTGCAAACATCTCCGTCAAATCAAAACAAACAATGTGCCTACACTGGCTTTGCTGGTGGAAGAATAATAGCGCACTTAGACTTTTTTTGGACAATTTTTTTTCTGAAAGTGATTCGGATAATCGGCGATTCGGATAATTGGAGTTCGGATAATTGGAGTTCGGATAATTGGAGTTCTACTATAACTCAATCCATAGTATACCATAGTAACATCATTCTAGAAATCTAGATGAATAATCTTTTTGATGATCAAATCTTTTTTTATTTCGGATTACTAGGACGATTGCAAGCTCAGTTGCTGGTCTCATTTTTTGAAACCTCTCACTTCAAACGCTGCTAATTTTTAATTTTTAATTTTAATCAACTTTTTTTTGTTTTAATTTTTTTCTATAACCTTGTAACCTTGATGAACAAATTATAAAAAAAATAATAGTAAAAAATTGATTGCCTTTTTAATGATGATTTAAAAATGACCTAAAATTCTTTACACTAGAATACCCTCTTAAATAACCTAGCTCTATTGGAAAAATAATTTAACAATTATGCTTAACAATATATTTTTAAAACTGTATATAATGTGCCAGTTTTTAATAAAATTACATATATTTGATTTCTTGTTCTAGGAATAATGTGAGTACTGATGTTAATACAATATGGTATGATTCAATTAATGAAAGAATTCTTGCTGGGTGTAGCGATGGCATCATGTACTTGTACACACTAGAAGATGGCTCATTAGTTCGAAAATTTGAAGGACACAAAGATTATTTACATTGGATTGAAGGAGAGTAAGTGAGGAATTTGATTTTAATTTTATTTTATGTAATAGTTAATAACAATAAAAAAGATCACTTTGATTACCCAAACTCATTTACCAGAAAACTCCCCAGGGCCAGGTTGAAAAAGAAATTAATTTTTCATGTATTTTATCTGTTTCAAAATCAAGTCATTGGTGATTATGATTATGTATTTTTAAAGTGTATTTTTATACTTTTATATATAAAATTTTGCTTATTCTTTTAGAATAGCTTAAATATTTTAATTGGTTTATTTAAGATAGGTATCGTATAATAAAATAAAATAATAGAATAAAGTTAATTTTTTCTTAGCTCATCCCAGATTGCATCAGCAAGTGAAGATGGTACGGTTAAAATGTGGGACTTGAATCAACAAAGTTTCACAAATGAATTGGCACCATATAAAGAAGAAAAACTTCAGAGACCTAAAATTGGCAAGTGGGTTGGTTGTGTTACTATAAATCAAGATTGGCTGGTATGTATTTTAATTAAAATTTATTTTCAATTTTGTTTTGCATATGAGTATTGTACAAAGTTGTACTTCTATATATTTTTTCTATACATATTGCAGTATATATTTAATAATTATTAAGTGTGATCACTAAATCAATCTTCAGTTTTTGTAGTTAACTGCGCCTGTTCAATTTTTCAATTATATATATATATATATATATATATATATATATATATATATATATTGCTATTGACTTTGCTATATCCGCTTGTCCAATTGTGTAGTGCTTGTAGTATAGTGTATATTAATTGGTGCAAATACCCTGTTCCAGTGACATACAGTCAAAATTTTGTTTTCGACTTGTTTTTATATTAACAAATCTATATCCATATATGTAATAAAACATTTTCAGAAATTTTATTATACCAAATATTTATATCATGCAATTTTATGCCATAATTAATGCCCTGATCATATAATGAACATTCTAAAACAATGTGTAGGCTTTATTTTATGTATGGTTCATAAAGATATGTTTTGTTTGCGAATATATATATATATATATATATATATATATATATATATATATAAATACAGTGGTACCTTAACTTAATAGCGACATACCAGAAGCTTTGAGCGAGTAACAGTTTTCTAAAAAAATGTTAATGGCAAAAAAGCAATGATTTTTTTACCATAGAAACATTTTTCACTATTTTATGATAGTCAACTACCGAGTTGTTTTTTTTCCAACATGACTATTGTAAATTCATTAAATTTACTGAATGTCCTTTACTGGACAGTTGTAAATAAAAGAGTTAATAAAAAAAAAAAAATTATTATAGTAAATTATTATAAAGTTAGCCATTTCAAATAAGCTGAGTTCATGTTTTTATTTTTTGGACATATATTGGGTTGTTTGGAAAGTAACTTCGTTTTTTATAGATTTTATGTATTGGCAGTTTTGATTGAACATCTTTTGTCATATTTCTGGTATTAGCATAATTCTAAGATCAAATTTGTTGGTCATTATTGGCAAAAAACTGGTTAAAGTGCTTTTTGACCTCCTCATTTGAGGTAAAGGTTTTACCGCCTAAAAAGACCGGAAACCAGGAACAAATAATGACCGGAACAAATAATGATCCAATGACGGCAGGTCTAGTCAATATGCTGAATGTGTCATTGGGTTCCATTCAAGCTACAAAAGCTTTTGGCGATTGACCAAACTTATGTGAGGTCATGCATCATCCTGATGCAGTACTATACCTAGCTTGTGGGATAATATATTCCTTATCTAGATTTAGTTTATCCAGCTGATGACATAAGGCACCTAAATTAACCGTTATGTTATCCTGGAAATACTGAAAAGTGAACAACTCTTTTAAAATCTTACCAAACATCAGCATCGCCCTTTTCTGGCAAATTTTAGCTTTGCACCTGTTTTGAGCAGGGTTTTTTTGTTTCATGGGCAATTTCATGTAGGCCATGAAATGTTAAATTCGATAATTTGTAACTCAATGGGTTCTCATGTATTGTTAATTGACAGTTTGCTAATGCCTTTTTCGCGTCTTTATCAGCTTCAACCGTACTTCTTGGACTTGGTGCATCTTCTACATCAAAATACCAGGAATGAAATTCAGCAAAGCAATTTTGGCACTGTCCTACTTTCAACACGCCATTTCTATACACATCGATCAATTTCATTTTGACTCACACAGTATTTTTACCTTTTCTACAGCAAAAGAGTAAAATAAGCCGAAAATGCTTCTCAATTTTTTCCTCATTCAAAGTGGCACTATCCAAAAACTACTGCATGTAATTTGTAAAGATTTTTTTTTACATATGTAAGTGTTTATATCATATACTAACTATAGGGCTTAAGTGATGTTAGGTTCAAAAAATTCAAAAAAATATGGTTAAATTCTGGTGGTAATAAAAAGAAGTGACTTTTCGAACAACCTTATACAACATATTATTTATTTACCATTCCAACGGAAAGGTACATGTCTTTTGATTTGAAGCGTGTAATTGCTGATTAATATGAGGATAGTGAGGATATATGAACTGAACACATTACAGATATGTACTTTATGACAAGGACCTTGCAATAATTTAAAAGCAGCTTTTTAAACTCCAAATGATAAAAATCACCCTGGAAAGTTGCAACAGTTTGTTCATGGGAGTTGTTCAACCAAACATGTTTAACTCATTTCCAAATTTTCAGGAATGAACAAGAAAAAACAATAATTAAGTTAATAAATAGTAAATATATTTTTATATACAAAAAACTTAACAAAAACCAATCTGCTGGAACGAATTCATGGCAGTTCAATTTCTTTGAAAAAAATAAAATTGCTTCGTGATACGAGCGATTCGACATACGAACGTAGTTACAGAATGAATTAAACTCGTATGTTGGGGTACCATGGTATACACATACATATACAATTTTTGAAAATTATTTTTGGGAAAGATAGAAATGGTTTATAAGGAATTGGTTGCAAATTTAGAAGAGGTGTGCAAAAATGCATTATGCCACGCATGGTATTTGAATCTAGTTATTTTAACCATTTGTTTATTTTTAAAAGTTTTCAACATTAATTTCATTTAATATTTGAGGTGTGTGGCGGCGGACCAAAACTCTCCCTCTGGCATTTAAGATCTTTAGAAATGTCAACTGTATACGATTTACCTAATTGTGGAATACATGTAACGAGTTTTGTTGATGACCACATATTAGCCGCTGGTGGTTCTGGACATGTATACCAAATGACATATGATGGAACTCTTCTGAGTGATATTGCAACAACACCAACAGCTGTATACAGTGTGGTACACAGAAATATTCCAAAGAAAGTTATGTCGATTGCAGGATCTAGTAATATCTTAGACATATCTACCAGTTTCAGCTATAAAGATCAAGTGATAGCTTTCAAATAAAAGAAAACTGTGCCTAATGTAAATACTCTTTAAATATTAAAGTACCTTCATTTTATACTTAGTAGTAGATAATATTTTACCATGATTGATAATTATTATGAATGATTTCTAATTTATATAAATTATTTTTTATCATAGAAGGAAGGCATTTAGTATAATATTTATTGGCTGAAAAGATTGTGAAATTATGCCCATTTTAAATATATCTCAATATTTCTTCTTTATTTCAAACATGCAAAACAAATTGAAGTCATACGTTAGGCGCTATAATAGCTTTACTAGGGGATTTTAGGAATAATTTGCATTTATGATTAAATATTTATTAAAAACACATCATGAATCAATGAATATTTGCTGACTACCAAATATGAGCTAAATTAATATTATTTGGTGCAAAAGCTTTTATAATTTGATAACACAAGTTTAAAAATTATACTTTTGTAGGGTAAATTAATATGAAAAATTTTAAATGAAGAAATTAAAAATATGGAAAGTGTTTTTTATGAGTATGGAAATTACTGACAAATTCCAAACTAATTTTATCACAAAAAAGTTTTCATTTCTTAACATTCAAGTTTTATTATGATAATGTATAGGTATCTTCAAAATCAAACTTCTTTGACAAATTGTTGACAATTCATTTATTTATATTTCTGTACAAAACTTCATTTTTTAAATTTTTATTAATAAATATTTATTGAATACAATCTTGCCTTTGTATAAACTTGTTCATAAGGCTTTTAAACAATGACTATAGAAATTCTTTACATAATATGAATTTGGATATGAGCTACAAATCCAAATAAATAATGATATAACAAAAAGTAAAGTGGAATTAGAACAATAAATATTGAGCAGAGTCATACCCGAAAAATTGGGACAGATTTATTGACCACATTCAAATAGGTGGATTTATGTGTATATCCAAAATAATTAATGGCTAAACATTCATACAGCCCTTTATCCAGCAGCGTAGCGTGAGGAACAACAAATTTACTTATATAAGTATTATTATTTATTAATACTGCTTCCGTTGAGTTGCATACCTAAAATAAAAAAAACATATTTATCTTATTCAACTAGATAATAATCTAGAGCAAATCTATATATTACATCTAGTAGTTTATTTTGAATTAGAATGCTAAAGTACTTAGTAACTCTGGACTGTTAAATCTATAAATTTAACTGAGAAATATTAAGGATAATACATTTCTAATACTAAAATCAATACTTTAGTTATTATCTAAGCATCTGATTATTTATAATTGAAAACTATTAAAATTTATAATTAGAGTTTTTGGGAATTCTTCATTAATTATACTTGCCTCAAACTCATCATTGGCCAATGTATTATCGTCTGATTTAATTGAGTACTTCAGCCACCAAATTGTTGTTAAATGTTTGCTTCTAAATTTACATTGTAGTTCTGCCTGTTGGATAAAAATATTGATGTCAGGAATTCAATCAGTTTCAAGAAGGAACTTTTAACTTTCAATATTATTCTATCATAATTAAATCATTTTGAAGAAATCATTGATGTACATGATACATTGAAAATTGGTATTGATATGCAGTACTGTTAATTTGCCATTAATCACATCAGAATCTCCATAAAAGCAATGATGGAACAAATTGTTTATCTTTGATGGAAAATTAAACTAAGAAACAAATTTTAAAATTATCATGGACTAGTAACATTATTAGCTATTCTAATATCAGTTACCTTTTCATCTGTGTAAATTGTCATTTTATTTGGTGGAATCCCTATAATCTGTGGTGGATTCTGATCAAAATCTAAAAAAAATCTGTGTTGTAAACAAATTTCTTACAGACCTGAAGAATTATAATTTAGTAAATGTAATATACCAACTGGGACTAATTCATACACTTTCATCTTTTGAATTGTGTCAGTATCTTCATGAAGTGCCGAACATTGATACAAACCAGAATCATTCATCTGCAAATTCACTATATTCAATGTTATGCATGGTTCATTGCAGAAGACTCTTTTAGATATCTGTAAGCAAACAATTAGTTGAATGTATCAATAATGTTTATAATATTCATATTTCATTAGTTTAAAAAAAGTATCTACTGTTTCATTGTTTTCTCTTCCTATGATTATATAATCATCATCCATTACAAGTGCCCAGTCGATTGTATGTTTACAATTACTTTGGAAATAATCACCACATTGCTATAAAAAAATATTGAAAATTATATCGTTTTACACAAAATTATATCATTTATGATTTATGTCCCAACCTTGAATTTCCACTGAATTTTCATATTTTTGAAAGCTCCTGCAATTTGGCATGAAAGGCGAATGTCTTTTCCAATGGGCTTTTTTAATTGTTTTATGACATTCAAGTCCGGTATGTTTGTATTATATTCTATTAAATGGAATTGTAATAATTAGTAGTTTTGTATATATATATATATATATATATATATATATATATATATATATATTAATATTTGTATGTATACTTACTGTATAAAAGCCCATCCATCGGTTGTGTTACAGATAAATAGCCAAATATTAAGATTGACACTATCAAAGGCTTCATGGTGTGATTAAATCATTCTGCAAAAGAAAGTTTATCTTCGTTAATTATCATTCATATTGATTATTCAATTTAACCGTCTCAGAAAGCTAGAATAAAGTAAAAAGTAACTAGTTGGTTTGGTATTTAGCCTTGAGGAAAGTTACATGATCTTCCCGATATGTGTAAATAATCAACTTAATCAAAAAAATGTGTAAATAATATACTTCATCAATCCTACCTTAAAAAAAACTATAATAATTTTAGCAAAGTTTGACGAATTTTTAAAATTAAACTACTTGCCGTATTATTACAGTAAGTTCTATGATGTATATATGACCATGATGTATCTCGCCAAAAAAAGTTCCATGAAAATCGGCTTAAATTTTTTTTTAACAGTTCATTACAAGAAAACGGCTCGGTAGATTTTCACCTAAAATTAATCAGTATTATTCCCAACTAATATCTTTCGAACAGTTTTTGATTTTTTAAAATCGGTTCGGTAGGATGAGCTTAAATGTCGACGAAAGTTTAACACTTTTTTTCAACAGTTAATTACAAGAAAACGGCTCGGTAGATTTTCACCTAAAATTAATCAGTACCATTCCCAACTAATATCTTTCGAACAGTTTTTGATTTTTTAAAATCGGTTCGGTAGCATGAGCTTAAATGTAGACGCTTTACCCTTTCGTTTAATGTTTATAACACTTTCTTCCAAATTACAAAGAAACGTCTTGGCAGATCGTCGCACAAAACTGACAAACGATAGTCCTCACCGAAATACATCAAATGGCTTTTAAATTTTTAAAATCGGTTCAGGCGTTTTTGAGAAAACGTCAAATTTTGACAAATGCCAAAAAAACGATACCAATTTTTGCAAACTGTGACATTTTTTTAAAGCTGAACCAGTTGTCGTAGGGCCGTAATATTTTAGTATGATCTAGAAGACTATGGTATCTACCGTCAAAAAAATAATCAAAAAAATCGTCGATTTTTTTTTAAAAAAACTTTATTACAAGAAAACGGCCCGGCCGATCTCTACCAAAAACTAATCAGCACGATTCCCAACCAATACCTTTCGAACGGTTTTTGAATTTTCAAAATCGATTCAGAATTGCGGGCTAAAACGTAGACGAAAAATTTTTCACTTTTCTGCTATTTATAAAGAAACGGCTTGGCCGATCGTCGCACAAAATTGACAAACAATAGTCCTCATCGAGGTACATCGAATGGCTTTTAAATTTTTGAAATCGGTCCAGCCGTTTTCGAGAAAACTCCGATTTACGGCAAAAAATATGTTCACATACACGCACACACACACATACTTTTTCCAAATTTGGTCTCATTCGATTCAGAATGGCTTGAAACGTCGAGAAAACATAAAATTAGCAATTCGGATTTTTTGATGAAAACATAAACTTCTCCTTCGGGAAGTTAATTATAACTACACGATAATATGATGATTATTATACTTTGAATTAGGAGAATGAAATCAAATCATCAAAGGATTTTCATAATGATCTAACATTATGAATTCAGGACTTTATTCTCAAGCACATCAGTAAATGATAATTATCAATATATCAATTTATTGATTAAAAGTACAAGTGAATAAAAGTAACCAATGAATAAGTGGATTTAAACTAAATACAATATCATCAACAATTTTAGGTACTTCGCGCAAGTTCGAGAAAAGTAGGTCCCGATTATTTTTATTTAAAAAATTAAGTACGTCCATCGTTTTATATTTATTTTTGCATTGTTACTTTTATTTTTTTTATTGTTCAATTACAATTAGAATGTTTCAAAATATATATAAAAATAATAGTGCGAGAGAAGTGAAAGTTCGTAATATGGAAATGGAAATATGAAGGGAAAGAAATTGATATTTAGGCATTTTACAATATTTTCAGACAATCTACAACAATTTCAAACAATCTACAACATCTTCAAACAATTTACATTGTTTTCAAACAACTGACAAGAATTTCAGGCAATTTAAGACATGTTCTAGAATAATATAATCTGCAATATTTTTCCCCATTATAGAACGTTCAAAAACGAAACTTTGTTCGAAGTTTTACTTCAATGTGAGAAGTTTTACTTCAATAATAATAAGTTCTTTTATATTTAGACGTAATCAATAAGTCGAAAGACCAAAAAAGACTAGGATTGGATTATACCATATTTTCTATAGAAAGTGTATAAATCTTCGAGTTTGATTGTATTAACAAAATATAGACAAACTAATGGGGTTTATTGTTTTTATAATACCTAATTGTATACAGCATTCAAACAACACATCCTTATGCACTTAAAGTATTAATATTTTTGATTCTCTAGAAATGGTTTAAAATATACCTTATTTAGCTAAACATCGTTTGCTGGGTCAGCTAGTATATATATATATATAATATATATATATATATAATATATATATATATATATATACATAGTTTTATTAAGAAAGTCCCTAAGTTGTGAAAATTCTACGGTCTACGTTCTGCTCAGGTATTCGATTTTATGTAAGAGGGCGTCTTGCTGAGTTCACCCTCTTGATAAATGCCTTAGGAGACGCTCGGGGCAAAAGTGCAGTTGAAATTCATTCGAGATGTTAATTTGCATGACATGACAAGCAAT